TATCTATCTATCTATCTATCTATCTATCTATCTATCTATCTATCTATCTATCTGGTGGCCTAAGGCAGGAAATAGGAGACGGGCAGCCAGAAAGAATTCTGAAATAATACCAGGTATGGAAATTTGCCTCAGCAAGATGTAAGGAGGACAGACACATGGTACCTGAGCAGAGGTAACTGGCCACATGGCAGAGTGTAGATTAGAATAAATAGGTTATTTAAGTTATGAGCTAGTCAGTGAAAGCCTAGCTATATGGCATAAGTATTTGTAAAAATATTTTGGGTCTCACAAGTTTTTATTCTGGGAGCTTAGGGCTGGGAGGAAAAACCATTACAACAGAGGCATGGGGTAAACACTGGGCCTTCTGCCAAGATAGGAAAATGGGAAGCAAATTTGGGGGCCACTTGTTCACTGTTTTGTTCCCTTGGTAGTTCAGTGGTCTTGGGCCATCTGCTGGTATTCTATGCAGAATGTTCCTTGTGACTAGATAGGGATTTGGGGCCCGAGGCCTCAGCATCATTGAGTGTCTAAGTATCTGTCTGGCATTGGGTTTGCTAACTCAGGAACCTACTGGCTTTCTGTATCTGGGCCTCAGTTTCCCCCATTAAAGGAGGAAAATGGGGCTGAGGAGATGGCTAAGGCCATCATGTGCTTGCTTCAGGGTCTGAGTTCCATTTTCAGAACAAGCATAAGAAACCAGGCACAGAGGTGCACATCTGGAATTCCAGTTCCAGGGAGGCAGACATGAGTTTCCCTGGGTCTTATGGGCCAACCAGTTAAACCAAATTGGTGAGCTCTGGATTCAGTGAGAAAAACCTGTTTTGAAAAATTAGGTAGAGGGTGGCAGAGGAAGATGTGTGACATCAACCTATAGCCTACAATCACAAGTACATCCACACACACACACACAACCTGAACTACATATATACACATGTGTATGTACACAATAAGCTGGCCAGGTCCATAAGGGGTCCTTCCTATGATCCTCTCCTGGATTCTGCTTCCTCAACATCCATCCCCTGCTCAGCACAGCAACGGCTTACTGGGAGGAGGCAGAACCTTCCAGCAGAGGTGGTTTCAGCCCTGGGGCCCACAGTGCAATAACTTGCAATTCTCAGTGGGCCCCTGGGCAACCACTTGTGGCCTTATGTGTGGCTGTGTGGATGGCACTGTTGGGGAGCCTCCTGTGGCTCAGAATCCCAAGCTTTTGCAGCAGCGAAGCAAGACACAGCTGACCTTACTCGGCCCCTTTGGAGCACAGACCTTGTCTAGCCTGCTTAACTACTGGGGGCTGGGCAGGCAGCTCCCTTCATATCCCCAGCAGACTGAAGACCCAGGCCACACAGACACTGTAAGATCAGGGCTTGGCCACAGTTTGGGTCTGTCTAGGAGGGCAGCTGAACCATGGAGTGAGTCCCCACCCCAGACAGCCATGGCACACGCTTGCTGTATCTTTATTGCACTGTTACCTCACTGCAAACTACTGCACAGAAGTGTCCCTGGGGCCATGGGCCCTGCATAATGCCTTGACACCCACTGTCCAGAGTTCAGCTAAGGCAAGCAGTGCCCACCACCAACTAGCAAGGCCTGGCTACTGTGCAGCGGTGGAAAAGTGGATAGCTGGTCATCTGTATCCAGGAACCCATTCTTGGGTACCCATCTGTTTATTCGTAGGCCATGATGTCCATCAGGGCCTCCCCTCCCTAAAGTGCTCCAGCCTCTGAGAGAGGAGGCCCCAGGTTGGAGAGCAGAAAGTGGATTTTACTTGAGGACCAGAGCGTGAGCACATCACGGAAGGTCCTTGAAGTGGCCCAGAGGTTCCCTGGGTGGTGGTCCATCGGCGGAAGCGGGAGCCTGTCGTTAAGTACAAAACAGTGAGTAGAGGTGCCTCCCTGTAGGAAGGATGGAGTGCCTCCTTCTGGCCACTCTGTTGCATGTCTGGTCTCTGCTGGACCCGGAGGCCCACACATCCTTCTCAAAGCCGTGAGGGAGACGCCATGCTCCCTCCCTCGGGTGGGGAGGACTCAAGCCGGTCCGAATTCACTGAATTCACAGGTGGCCAGGCTCTGCGCTCCTCCGTGCTCGTGGGCAGCGCGGTCACTACCTCTCCGTGGAGGCTCTGTGCTCAGCGGCTAGGTCGTCCTCCACCACACTGCTCAGCCCGTCCTTCTCCACGCAGTCTCGCACGGCCTGCAGCACTATGCGCAGCCGCCGGTCCAGGGCGTCCAGGTGCAGCTGGTAGAGCACTGGCGCCACCTTGTCCTGCCGCAGGGACTCGGCCATCAGCAGGCTCAGCTTGTGTTCCTCCTTGGCCAGCAGCTGCAGCCTCAGGTAGGTGGACCTCCTGATCCTGCAGAGAGAGCGGGGTGTCACTGTCGGGAAGGAAAGAGGGTGGGGCAGCATCTTGCTGGAGAGAGACAGGTGACGGGGTGGGGCAGAAAACTGAGATAGAGAGACATGGACAGAGACAGCAATGAACAGAGGGACAAGGGGGCCTGAGATGCCAGCCCTCGTGGGTCTGTCGTGTGGAGATGGCTCATTGCAGACCAGTGGTTCTCGACCTTCCTAATGCTGCGACCCTTTAATACAGTTCCTCATGTTGCCAGCGGCCCCCAACCATGAGACTATTTTTGCTGCAAATTCATAACTAATTTCACTACTGTTAGGAACCATACTGTAAGTATCTGACATGCAACCCCTGTGGAGGGGCTGGTGGTCCACAGGTTGAGAACAGCTGCTCCAGACACGATACGGTTCTGTCCACAGGGGCGGGTGGAAAGGTAGGTGCCCCAGGTCCTCAGGACAGCATCAAGACTGGCTAACTGCTCACCTGGGAGAGTGTCCCTCCTCAACTGGCCAGATACACTCTGTGTCCCCAAAGGACACAAATAATTTGCTTTGGGAGCCTATGTCTGGCCACTGGGAGTGGGTTTGAGGGTGGTGGTGGAATTGAGAGGCTGTGGAAAATGGGCAGGGTGAATCTAGCCGCCATGGCCAGGGCAGAGGACCCTTGGTCTAGACTGACAACCTGCTTTGGGCCTCGTGGTCCTTACAGGATCCTTACAGGTGGGAGGCCTAGGGAAGAGGGGCCAGGAGGAGGCCTGGGCAGTGAAGTGGGATGGGTTTGGCCTGTGGATGCCTCCTCGCTGGTGCTCCAGTGGGTGGCGGCAGGCTCCTGGCTCCCGGGCAGTGATGGCTGCAGCTGGGGCAGACCAGGCCAGGCGTGGGCTCGTACCTGCAGCACTGATGAAGAGGCGCTAGGATGGACAGCTCATCGTGTGAGTATTTCCCGAACCTGTGGGAGGAAGGTAGAGTGATCAGAGCCTAGCAGCCAGACAGCCAGGCAGGGCACAGGGCCCTGCCCTCAGGGTCCCACCTCTCCGTGCCATGGTGCTATACATAGTACCATGGCAACCTCGTGAGGATCGTCAGTGTCAAGGCCGACCCTGGCCATGCCCAGCCCAGGCAGGATTTTTTTTTTCTTTTATAATTGGGAGGGTACTTTGCCTTGTTAAGTCTGCCCTCTCCCAGGCAGAACTGACTGCTTTTTGGCCCTTCTCATCCAGCCCCAGACCCCCTGGCCTCAGTTTCCCCAGGGTAGCAGGAAAGTATGACAGAAAGTGCTCACAGGTCACTGCCACAAATCCAGCATCCTGTGGGAGTGCTGACGCAAACCCGAGGTACCCTAGGCCCTGCCACTCAGGTGCTCCCCCTGATCCGGTGACTGCCTTCCGAGCTAGTAGTCCCCTACTGGTGGAGATGGCTGGCTCCCCAGGACTTCAAGGGCACAGAGACCCACCCGCGCCCGTTGTCCAAGTGTATGATGAAGGTGTCATTCCCGAACTTCTCAAAGGTCTCGTAGTGATGTCGGTCCATGTTCCCTGCAGGGACAAGCACGCACAGCTGCTCAGAGGCCTCTGCCCCTCCGCACCTGTGGGTCACCAGGTGGTGCCCCCAGCCAAAGGGGTTCAGGCGTCCCTGGCAGCCAGCACGCCCCGCAGGACGTACCCATGAGGAAATCAAAGACAGTCATGTCCATGATGTCCAGGATTCGGTGGCCACTGTCATAGGGTGGCGTCTGCTTCACCTCCTCACAGTAATCGGGGTCCACTTCCCACCTGTGGCGGGGCGGGGCGGGGAGAGCAGTGTGAAAGCAAGAGCAGGGTGGGGGCCTCTCTTCTGAGTGAAGAGGGAGGCCGGGCCGGACGACTTGGTGCTGCCTGCCTCAGCAGGGCACCAGGCCTGCAGCGGCACATTTCGTGAGGAGGGTTCAGCGTGGTGACGGACTATCAGAGGGACATACGATGGACAGGTTACAAGCCTGAACTAACAGGAATAGAGGCCGGGGAGGTGAAGAAGCTCTTCTTCCTGTCCTAGGCACTATCAGCTGTGTCATGCTTTTGATGGGTGGGGGGTGTCTTTTCTAGCACCTGGCAGGCCATGGGTGGAGGAAGTTATGTTTTGAGGTGGTAGGCCAGCACCTCCTCTACCTCTTAGATAGGAACCCCTTGTTGGTTACTATTGTCAGCTTGACTGGATTTAGAATCACCATGGAAACACAGCTCTGGGTGTGTCTGTGAGGATGTTTCCAGGGAGGTTTGACTGAAGCAAGGATGGACTCTGAATGTGTGTGTGTGTGTGGGGGGGGGGCACCACTCCTAGGCTGGGTCCTGGGCTGACTAAAACAGAGAAAGTGAGCTTTCTCTCTGCTTCCTGACTGTGCCCCCCTAGCCCATGCTTCTGCAGCCATGCCTCCCCATGACGACGAGAACCCTCAGACGGCAAGCCAAAGGCCATCTTTGTCAGCAACGGTAACCAAAACCCACCACTGGCCCGGTCTCACAGTGGCACAAGCAGAGCTGGCTTTGCATTGTCCTTGCCGCCCTCCGACCCTGAGCCTTGGACTACTGACTGGCCCCTTCAGGGATGGCGTCTTTGGTGCGGTGGGCAGAAGCTGGCCCGTTAAGTCCCCGGTACCCGACTTACTCTGCCTTCTTTCGCTTGTGGTAGGAACGACGCCAGGGGTTCCGCCACGTCTTCCTCTTGGCCAGCGACAGGTCAGGCAGGAAGGCCGCCAGGGAGCCTTCGATCTGGTCCGGCCTCCCACACAGGGCGTGTTCCGTGGAACAGTAGTAGGAACATTCTCCGTAGAAGCAGATGTTATTGGCTGAAGAGGGAGAGATCCGGTCAGTGGCCAGCACCCCTCTCAATGCCCACAGTGCCGCTCCACCGGCATGTCTATTCTCCACAGGGGTGCTCACCATCACCCCCAATCCCAGGCCCCAGAGCAGTCTACAGAGCACAACAGTCCAGCATCGGGGAGCCAAAGTCAGACCGACCCTGTCAACGTGAGAGCTGCCTGCTTCTCACACTCCAATCTCCCAAGACCAGCTCAGGCTCCTGAGAGTGGAGGAAATTCTAGTATTTACCTGCAAAGAGTAAGGCCCAGTCACGAGAGGAACCACTTACTCGGGTAGAGATCCGGTTCCAAGGAAATGCAAATGAGTGTGGACAGGCGGATCGATGGCAAAGGCTGCCATAACCAGGGGAGCTGAGTCCCAGCCCTAGCACTCAGGTAAAAAGCTGAGCGTGACAGCACATGTTCATAACCCCAGCACTGGGAGGCAACACAGGAGGACCCTGCGGCTCACTGTCAGCCAATAGGCCTTCTTGGGGAGTTCTGAATAAAAGTGAGAGACCCTGCCTCAAAACAACAGTGGATGGTGCCTAAAGAGGGACCCCCAAAGTTGACCTCTGGCCTCCACACCTGTGCATGCGCATGAACACACACACACATACATACACACACACTGAAAATCATCATAAAGCTCATGGGAAGACATTTCACTATCTCTTTCATCTGGGAAATGCCTACCAAACCAGCTCACAGCCTCTCAGATGGTTGTGACTAAAAGGCCATCTGGTGACTTGTGTCAAGGAGGTTGAGAGCTCTGGGGTGCCAGCGGGGTCATCAGATGATGGAGACGCTTGGAAGGCAGCCTGTCAGAGGAGTGCATGTGGGATTGGCTGTGCCCTGGCTGTTCCAGCGTGGGTGCCCGGCACATAAGACACGCGGAAACATTTCCATGCTCAGGCCTTTGTGGCTCAGAAAGGGAGGAAGCCATCTAGACACCACCAGCCATCACTCGAGAAAGGAAATGGTTTTCTTTCCTTCTCTGTGTTTGAGAAAGGGATTCATGTAGCCCAGGCTGGCCTCAAAGTTACTATGTAGGAGGTGAACTTGGACTTGGGTGTGTGTGCACGTGCGTGTGTCTGTACGCACAGGTAGGAGAAGCACAGAGGACATCCTTAGACGCCATTCCCCAGACATAGTCCATCTTGCTTTGGAGACAGGGTCTCTCCTTCGTCTAAGATTTGCCAAGCAGGCTAGGTTGACTGGCCAGCAAGCACCAGGGAGACCCCTATCTCACGTTCCTTAGAACTGGTATTACAAGTGTGTAAGCCAACAGTTAGCTTTAATTAATTAAATACTTATTTATTATATACATGTATATAGACATATATGCACACGCACACACAGATCCAAGTTCATCTCCTACATCGGGAATTTGAGGCCAGCCTGGGCTACATGAAACCCTTTCCCAAAAACAGAAAAAGAAAGAAAACTAGTTTATTCACTAATTAAAATTAATTAATTAATTAATTCTAAACATGGAGTCTGGGTATTGAACTAGGGTTCACGGCTTGCAAGGCAAGTACCCTACTGACTGAGCTATGCCCAGACTCTCACCCTGAACTCCTCCTGCTCCCAACTCCTAAGTGCTGGAATGGCAGGAAAGCATCACTAGGCCTGGTTTGTGCGGTGCTGAGGATGGAGCTGGGGGCTGGTCAGTGCTGGGTGAGACGTCCACCAGCTGAGCCCCCTCCCCGGGGACTGTATGTTTGTAACCCCAGTACTGGCCATGTTCAGACAGGGAGGTCTCTGGAGCTTGCTGGACAGCCAGTCTAGCCCAGTCAGGAAGCTACAGGTTCAATCCCAGACACCGATCTAAATAAGGGAAAATAAAGTGGAGAGCCATTGAGGAAGACATCTGATGTTAACCTCTGGATCCCACCACACGCTCACACACACACACACACTCACACACACACTTCCACAAACAAGCTCTGCAAAGCACACCCATGCTACACAGCCTTCAGTGGAGAAGGAGGCTGGAGACTTGCCAGGCCCAGGTCTGGCAGGGCAGGGGTGGGAGAGGGAGCTGTATGATTCCTGACACACCCGTGGGTGAGCAAGTCCTGGCTGGCCAGGCCCACTGCCTCTCCTCTCCCCTTCCCTTCTTGGCTCCAGCACCCCTCTCTAGTCAGTGCTGGGTAATTAAGATGGAAAGGATCAAAAGGAGGCCAGCCCACTGCTGAGGCAGTTTAGACAGCCGACCCTCACCCTGCCGAGGGCAGAAACGCTCTGGAGGCCAAGCAACAGCACACTCTCCAGGAGGAACATTTTTGTCCCATCTCATGCTGGCTAGAACCATGAAATTGGATGCCTCTGTTAGCCTGCTGGCCGACCTATCATGCTCAGAGCCTATCATGCAGAAAGAGGAAAGGAACCCCGTTTCTGCTCCATACAAGCTGGTTTCACAGGGGGCAGGGAGGCTGGGCTCTGAAAGCTGTGTGAGCAGAGCTGAGGCCCATGCCTCTCTGTGCTCAGCTGCTTCACCTGTGTCTTAGCCCTGTGCTGCAGAGCTAAGCACTGTACAAGGGGACCTTGGGGCGGAGTTGAGATGGTACTTGGGGTGGAATGAACATCTGCCCCCTTTGAGACTTTCTAAAGCAGGCAGAGCTGCTGAAAAGCTGTCGCCTTTTGAGGTCAGAGAGCCGGCCAGGGCAATGGGTCTCCCTCTTCCAAAGGCCTGAAGACAGGGCTAGTGAGATCCCAGGCCAGGTCTCTATCAGGAGCTAATACACGGCTTCTTCATGGATCCCATACCCTGGCTGGAGAGGCCTGAGTGTCCAAAACAGAACTGTCCGCCTTCTACGATTAACTCGGCAGGACCAGAGTCCCCACATGGGGACATGTAGCCTTTGTGTCCACCCTGGAACACAGGCTGCCACGTCACACAAAGGCTACAGACACACTGTCACTCAAGATGATGTCGCTCCCATTGGCAGAAGGTCCACGTGGAAACCGCTTACCCCTCGAAGTGCATTTGGGCTGCACACTGTGGGGACAGATGGCCACCTGCCAAGCCTAGACAACAAGGAAGGAAAGGAAAGGCTGACTGGGGGTCAAAACTAATCTATGCTGTGAAATGGCAAGGCCAGAGGTGGGTGTGTATGCTGGGGACACGTGCTCATAAGGACACGAATTACCTGCAGAAACAGACTGGGTGGGCACAGACTGACAAGAGTATAAGAAATATCAGAAGAAACAGAGACAGCAGCCAGGCGGTGGTGGTGTCACATGCTTTTAATCCAGCACTATGGAGGCAGAGGCAGGAGGATCTCTGTGAGTTCAAAGCCAGCCTGGTGTACAGAGTGAGTTCTGGACAGGCAAGGCCTCACAGAGAAACCCTGTCTTGAAAAACCACCAAAAAAAAAAAAAAAAAAAAAAAAAAGAGGGACAGTCAGACAGCAAAGAAACATGAGCTTGGGGTTTCAGAGGCCCAACTTGGCCTCTAAGCTGTGTGGCCCTGGGGCCCTTAATTGCCCCCTCTGAACTTTATTTCCCAGTAGCTCCCCCATGCCCAGGATGGAGCTTTTGCAGCCCCACCTGGAAGGGAGGGAGGGGCGCGCTCCCTGACTGACCCAGAGCAGAGCTGCTCAGAAGTGGAAGGCTGTCTGCTGTGATCAAAGGCTTTCCAGCTGCACTTAGCTCTCAGAAGCAGCAATGGCAATTTTGGCAGCGGAAGGATCTAGAAGAGCAAGCAAAGCAGAAACAGCGAATCCAAACAGACCTGGCTTTCTAAAGTAAGATCAAAGCTGCCTCCACGATCCTGTGCTTCAGAAGAAACCAGACATCTGGAAGATTCTCCGGAAGAAATCTGGCTGACAGGGCAGAGCGGTCTGGCAGGGACGGCTAGGTGGAGACGGCTGTGCTCAGGAGTGGCTGGTGACAACAGCTCTGCAGAGTGTCAGGAGGGAACCATCCAGGCCAGATGAACCACCTTTCAGGGCTCCTGACAGCCAGGGAAGAGTCTTGGGGTTCACGAGAGCTAACCAATAGCCTGTAACTGACTGGAAAGCCTCAGCATGAGCTGCAGATGGGGCCAGCTGGATGGAGCAGCAGTTGCTGGGGGACTTGAAGAGGAGAGGACATGACAGTGGTCATCAGCAGACTGGGTGCAGGAAGCCCATTGGGTGTGCAGGGTGACCAGCTGGAGTCCCCTGCCTAGGATGGGAGGGAGACTGAAACCAATGATGTGTCTTGTCTCCTCAAATGAGTATTTAGCTCCATATTCTGTTTATTAAAAATAAACAAGGGCCTTATGAACCTAAGCTAGCTCCCAGAACCTACATAAAAACAACAACAGCGCAAACACTGGGCATGATGGCTCATGCCTGTAATTCCAGCTTTAGGGAAGGTGGAAATGGTTGGATCCCTTGGGCTCACTGGCCAGCCAGCCTAGCTGATTCTGTAAGCTCCAGTTCAATGAGAGACCCTGCCTTAAAAACCAAGGTGGAGAAAGCTTGAAGAAGACACCCGACATTGACTGATTGATGCCAGACTGATCCATAGGTTCCACGTGCACCTGCTTGTGCATGTTCATGCTCAAAACAGACGTGAAAACCACATAAAACCCAGAATCCTTCACGGTTTCAAAATGACTCTGCAGTGGCTGACCCTGATGGCTCCTGTCTCAGAAGTCCTCATCTATGACAGCTGCTGGAACCCCATATACCCTCATGAGCGGTCTTCTGTCCTTCAGAGGGGCTGCTGGGGGCCTTAGGCTAAAGAAGCATGGTCTAGTGAGTCCCTGCCTTGCTTCTATCTGCCCTGGCTCCTCTAATTCCTGTCCGGCGACTTCCTCAATTGCACCCACCCAATGGCGGCAGCAGGTGGAGCACCAAGCCGGATATGGAATGCTACTGGTGGCAAATCGTCTCCAGGGAGACAGGGCTGACCCTGCGGACATTCAAGGTGGCGTGGCCAAATCTTGAAGTCACAGTGCCAAGTCGCAGAACCAAAGCAAAGAGGCTACCCGTGGGTCCCCAAGTGGACCCCAGCAGAGAGAGCACAGTGACCCAGCTAAGGCAGAGGGCAGCATGGCCTGGCAAGAGGCTGGAGGCCAGGGGCCCTGTCCTGGTGGTGGAGGGACTTAATTCACAGATGTCTGTGTGGAATCTTAAATACTACACGGAAGGCCAGGGAAGTAGCCAGTTAAGACATTGCTGGAGAAGCAGGCAGATCTGAGGTCCATTCTCTAAACCCACATTATAAAACAAAAACAAAAAAACCCAAAAAAACTGGGTGTAGCGCACACTTGTGGTCCTGGCACTGAGGAATAGGGAGGGAGGGGAGGAGGTTCTCTGGACCTCAGTGAGCTGCAGACCATGGAGAGAGACCCTACATCAAAAATCAAGGTTAAAGGCTCCTGTGGAATAGTAGCCATGGTTGACTGCTGCGTACAAACACACGAGCTCACATGTGCACACACCCTCCCACAGGCACTCACATACCTGCAAACAAGCCCACGTACACATGAAATGCCATTGCTGTAAGATGGGGACAAGATGACACCTTCTGAGTAGACCTGTCCAGGCCAGGGAAGCAGGAGAGGCTCATAAGAGCACCGGGGACACCGGGACCCTCCCCACTGGGCAGAGGTTCCGGCATCGCTTGCCAGGAGGTAGCCTGCAGTCCCTGTGTGTCCCCAGCTGTGGGCTTCCCCATGCCTGTCCCACCATCCATGAGCTATCTGAGAGCTCTGGCGCTGTGTTAGCTGGGCCCACAGCTGGAGGGGCGAGTCTCCTGCCACTAGCCTGAAGGCTGAGCCTGTAGCTCTGCTGCGAGTGGGTGGTCCAGCCTGTGTGGCCTCGGAAGAGAACGGTCTCAGCAGTGCCTGAGTGACTGGCATTTAGACCCCTGTCTGGCCTGCCCAGGATCGTCTTTATTTCCTGTCCTCACTTGACAGCCCAGGCCTGAGGCCTGAGCTGAAGTGCAGGGCTCTGAGTAACTGCAGGTCACCCATTCTGCTAAACAGAGGTGCCTCTGAGAATGGGACGAAAATCACCATAAAGGTTGCAGTCAGGCCTGGGGGAGAGGATTCAATCAGCGAGTGCTCTCCCCCACAAGCATGGCAACCTGATCCACCCTCATGAACCCACATAAAAAGCTGAAAGTGGGGGCACGTGCCTGTGATCTCAGAGCTGGGGTAGTGGGGACAGGGGGATCCCTGGGGCTTACTGGCCAGCGAGCCTAATGTAATTGGTGGGCTCCGGGTTCTGGTGAGAGACCCTGGTTCAAAAAACAAGGCGGACATCACCTGAGGAAGGACAGCCAAGGGTGGCCTCTGGTCCCCAGATGTGTGCGCACGTACACACGCAATGCAAATGGGTAATGTGAAGCAGCACACACACACACACACACACACACACACACGAGTGCATCGAGGCATGGATGAGCATGCACACACACATAAAAATGAGTGCTACAAATGTGAGTGAGCACACACACACGTTGCATCAAACTATGCAGCAAAGGACAGGAGGCAGTGAGGCCTCCAAGCGAAGCCAGGCTGAAGCTTAACCCAGGTGTCTAACAGGTAGGGCACCTAAGCTTCCTGAGGTATGGTCGGTCCCTGTGGCCAGTGGAAGAAGCTGGGTTTGGATGACAGAGATGCTAGGATATCTGGGGCTGCAGAAACTATTGGCCATCAGGGCCAGTCCCGGTGGCTGAGGCAGGCAGGGGCCAATGTGGGAATATGAGCAGAAACCCAGGGGTCCCAGGTGGAGGTGAGCTTCAGCTCTTTGAGAGAATGTCCCCATCTACAGCGGTCTGGTAGGCCCAAGCAACTGTGAGGGATAGGCTTCTGGTAGAGCCAACCCCAGAGGCTGTCCATCCGGGATTGTCCAGCTCTTGATGGATGGTCATAAGAGAGCAGGGACAAGGGTCCAAAGGAAGATGAACATGTGTCTCCACCTACTCAAGGAATTCTATTTGTGTGTGTGTTTGTGCGTGTGTGCATGAAGGCCAGAGAAAGACACAGGGTGCCCTGCTCAAGCACTCTACCTGTTACACCCTTAGATAAATTTCTCACTGTATCTGGAATCCAGTGACTCTCCCATCTCCATTTCCCACAGCACTGAGGTTACAGGCATGTGAGGGTCCATGCCCAGCGGTTATGTGTGTGTCGGGATGGGAGGTGAGGCATCTGAGCTCACAGCCTCACGAGTATGCAGTAAGCATCCTCACCCGCTGGGCCAGCTCCCCAGCACCCCTGTTTTCTCTTATCAATGGAATCTGAGCTGGTGGATGGTGGAAGAGTGCTTAAGCAGGGCGTGGGTTCACGGCCTCAATTCTGACACATTTATGAATGCAGCTAGGAAAAGAACCTTGAGTGCCAATCAGCAGAGCTTTTAGGTTGGCTTTTGTGCGCCCGCCAAGACTGAAGATAGAGCTAATGAAGGCCTTAATTGGATGTATCTGCAGGAACTGCAGGGGTGTGAGGCACAGAGGAGCTCCTGCCCGCCTGCCTGCCTGCCTGCCTGCACTATCAAGAGAGTGTGGCTCCCAGGGGCAGCTGCTTTGCACTCCCCCTCCCCCTCCCCCGCCCCCGCACTCATCTTTGCAGGATATCTCTCAGTGCAGTGTAGGCTGGGATGTAGCTCAGTTGGTGGAGTGCTTGGTTAGCATGAATGAAGGCCCAGTTTCCCTCTGCAGCACGAAACAAAGCAAAGACAAACCAACCAACCAACCAACCAACCAACAACACCTGTCATGCCAGCACTTGAGAGGTGAAGGCAGGAATCAGGAGTTCAAGTCATCCCTGGCTACCTAGAGAGTTCCAGGCTAGCCTGGGCCACACGAGACCCCATCTCAAAACCACAAGGCCTAAGGGCGTGGCTCAGTGGACAAAGTGTTCACTGCCAAACATGAGGACTGGAGTTCTGAGCCACAAAAAAGCTCGGTTGGCATGGTGGCCGCTTGTAGCCTTATTACCCAGGAAGTAGTGCCAGGGTTATTTCGGGTAAGCTGGCCAATTGGTGGAGTAAGGACTGCTGAAATTTTGGCTCAAAAAGAAACTTAGCTCAGTTACAGTGGAGAGCGGCTGAGTTGTGTACCTGACGTCAACTTGGTGCCCACGCACATATATCATACACACACGACACACACCACACACTATCCATGCACACACATACACACACCACACATACACACTCACACCCACACTATATACCTCCCCACATACACACACCATACATACATACCAAATAAAAAGATAAACAACAACAAACAACACACAATAACACAGTAGGGGGGGCATGTTAGAGCTCAACGAGGCATCAGAGGGCCCTGAAATAAGAAGCCTGTCACAGGCCTGGGCCACAGAGAAGCTCAGAGGGCAGACGGGCCAGCTGAGCCCGAAGCATCATGCTTTCCCTAGCTGCTGAGACAAGCACAACATGACATGGTTTCTGTGTGCTTCTGGGATTCACAGTGTGAAGACTGAAGTCTCGTTGGTGTGAGTGCCACAGCCACACACATCTCAGTGTGTGAAAAGCAGGGTGTCAAGGCACCAGACCTGTGGCTAGCTGCTCTATCCATGGAGAAAAGCTGCTTGTCACATCTCCAGGTGATAGTCCCACTGGCTGTTTTTGTTCGTTTGTTTTTGATCTGGAAAGGTCTGGGGGAGCAGGGCTCTGGCGGCCAGGCTACCAGAGGCTTCCAAGAGAGACTGGAGTTCTAAAAACACTCAGCAGGCCAGCTGTAGTGGCAGGGCCACTACGTCAAGCACTTTTGATGGCTGAGGCAGGAGGATCATGAGTTCAAGGCCTGGACTACACAGCAAGGCCTTGTTTCTAGATTAGGTTAACTGAGGCGAAAAGACTCACCCTCAGGGCGTGTGGCACCATTCCACGGGCTAAGATCCCACAGTGAGTGAAAAGGAGAGAGTGTGCTGAGCACCGTCATTCATCTCTCTGCTTCCTCAATGTGGGTACAAGGTGAGCAGCCACCTCAGCTCCTGCCACTATGCCTTCCTCACCATGATGGACTGTGCACCCTCAGACCAAGAGCCAGATAAACCCTTCCTTCCTCAGGGTGCTTCTGTCAGAATATTTTATATGAACAACAGGAAGGATAATCTAGTCCCTCCCCTTTTTAGAGTTGACCAAGGCCAGCACGTGACCTAAGGCACACGGGAACCCCCTCCCTATCCCATCCCCAGCTACCTGGAGACACAAAGAAGGTTCTCCATAGCTTCTTATCCCGTGTGACATCCCGGATCTCCTTGGTCATGTTGATCATCCTGCCAGCCACCGGAGGAACTCTGCGGAAGTCCAGGATCCTGGAGGGGAAAGGCGGGAAAAAAGCCTTGATGTTCTCAGGCTGACCTCACTGTCTGCAGAGGCCAGCTGCTCTACCATCGTCTCTGGGCTTCTGCCTCACGAGGCTCTCAGGCTCAGCACAGCCCAGAACCATCCGTCGGTGCCAGGAAAGCGTGCATCCCAGAAGGATCGAAGCCTCTACGCCTCATTCATTGACTCTGTCCCTGCCAGGCAACTCGATAACTAAAACGTGCCCTCATTCCAGGGCTAAATTTAAAAAGAAATTAAATTAAATTACCCGCTCTTAATGGGGCTCTTTCTGCACACACTGCCGCTTGCTTAAGTGAATGGAGATGCCCGATGCTAGCTTTTCCTGCTGACACAGGATGTAAAGACGAGTTGTCCCCGCTGGAGGGGTGGACAGAAGGGAAGGACAGAGCGCCTTCCCGAGGTCAGGGGCCCCTGGGCTTCATAGGACAGCTACAGCCAGCACCCTGCCACCTCAAGCTTCCTGACTTTCTTCATGTGTGTGTCCATGTGTGGGTGCACACACGTGGGTACAGCAACGAGGTCATTCCTCAGAAGCAATCAACCTTGTTTTTGAGACCTGGTCTCTTAGCAGCCTGGAACTCGCCGAGCTAAACTGAGTGACCATCAAGCCCAGAAGTCCTCCTGTCTCTACTTCTCCAGCACTGGAATTGTAAGAGTGTGCCCCCATGTACACTCTTTCCACAGGGGTTCTGGGGACAGACCCCATGTACACACACTTTACCAACACGGTCATCTCTCCAGCCTCACGGGGCGGAGGGGGGGGAACCTGAATGACCATGGTGGAGTCACCATTGTCACAGAAAGGCTTTCTGGGATGCTTAACTGTCTGGCTTCTGGGGATTTCTAGTTCCCAGGTAAGGTTTTCGATAGACACCGTTCTCCCAGGATCCTGTGAGAAAGCAGATTCTGGCTCATGGGTCTAAGATGAAGCCTGGGCTCTGCAGTGTAGCCAGATTCTTGACAGCTGAGCTCAGATCAATGTCTAGCCATGGCTGTGGTGGAGTTGGGAGGGTCTCGAGGCAGGAAATGGAGAGCCTCATCTCTGTGCTATTGCCTGGGCAGAGGTCCTTCTGTACCCCTCAGAGACATCCCCAGGGTCAGGCCTCTGAATAACTCCTCAGGTCACAGACAGGGCCAAGTGGAACCTAGAATGAACCAGGTTGTGCTGGGTCAAGGCTGTCCCTCCCAGCTAGTGTAACAAAAACACCGTTTCCTGCACAGTGCCTTCCAATGCCCAGCACGTCTCTACCCCTTTTCCCTTAATTCCAAATGATGTACTATCTCCTATCTACCCCTGCTGTTCCCTGCTGGAGGAACCCTGCAGGGGGTGGGTGGGTGCCTGCCAGGATCTTAAATGCAAGGAGGGCAGGTTGGCTCTGGTTGGGGGTGCTGGTGGCTCTCCTGAGGCCTCACCTTTTCTGGCCTGTAAGACTGGTAAGCTGGGGAGGCAGTGTAGTCCTAGTTCTGTCCCTGGCAGTGTCTAGTGACACATGCTGGGGCAGAGACGGGGATTCTGGGGCTCGCTAGCCAGTCAGCCACCAGCCTAGCCTACTTGGAGAGTTCCAGGCCAGCAAGCATTCTGAATAGTGGGCAGCTCCTGAGGATGCCTGAGGTTCTCCTGTAGTCGTTACAAGCATGCGCACAGGTGGGTGTCCCCCCCCCCCCCCAGGCACACACATGCACGCTGAGGTACCTGTGATGGTTTAGTATGGAGCAGTTATACAGGCAACGATGGTGGCCCCATAGACCCCCAAGGCCAGGCCTGTGCCTCTCTGTGGGTGCTCTGCGTGGGTACACAGAAGAATGCAGACCCGGTGGCTCTTGACGGAGGGGACTCACCTGTCGAGGTGGAAGGCAGCGATCTCTGCGTTGTGCCTCTCGTAGTCAGAGAAATAAAAGAAGTCGGGTGGCGTCTCCTGCTCCCTCGTCTGCCTGTGGAACACAGAGAGAGACAGAAAGAGTGTGTCACAGAGGGGACCTCTGGGTTGAAGGGACAAGCTGAAGTGAGGATGTAGCTGGTACATGTATTTCCAGGGGCTCTGCTAACCAGCTGTCGGAGGAGCATCGTCAAGGGTTAAACGACAGGGCCAGCGAGACTGCTGGATGAAGGTGCTTCCTGCCAGGACCCATGCGGCAGGAGAAAGCCAATGCCTACAAATTGTCCTCTGACCTCCTCGTGTGCTGCGGCAGGCAGACCGTTCCCCCAATAAGTAAGCATATGTTTCTTTAAATAGTAAATTATAGGCAGTGGCGGGATGGCGGGATGACTCAGGTGCACACTATGGATGCACAGGGAGCCGAGCTTGATCTCCAGGACCCACACTTAAAAGGCCAGTTCTGGGAAGGCAGGCAGGAAGAGCCAGGGGGCTCACTGGCGAGTTTCCGGCAAGTGAGAGAGGAAAAAGAGAACAAGGTGGGCCAAGTACGGTGGCCTATGCCTTTAATCCCACTCAGGGAGGCAGGCAGACTGACACCAGCCTGGTCTAACAAAGTGAGTCCAGAACAGCCAAGGTTACACAGAGAAACCCTGTCTTGAAAAACCAAAACCCAAACAAACACACAAGCCAAACCAAGGGGGATGGTGCCTAAGGACGAAACCTGCACTTGACTCTGGAATCCAGATGCACACACAGGCACACACATGTCTACACACATATACACACACTAAATTATTCAAACTCCCACTTACACTTTCAAGGCACTAACTGCACGAGACTTAAGGCTTTCTAGCCGCCTGTTTCGCTGGTCACTTTGCTGTATTCCTCAATGACTGTGTCCAGCACCGACACAGTCACACTGTATGCCAGATGAGGTCACATGATTTTCCTGGCCCACACTGAGAAACCTCACCAGCAGGGGGTCTGGGTGAAGAGCAGGAGCCCTGGGTTTCGGCCTGTTGGGTCCTGTCTCTCTGTCCCTATGGCTGTGTGCTCACTCATTCAGCGAGGCTGAGTGTTTGGAAGATCTCTGCCCTGGCCCCAGAGGGATGGAGGCAGCCCAGCAGAGCAGTCCCTGCCTCCTCTCGTACACAGCACACTCCTGCCAAACGGGCTAGTCCTGCCCTGGTACCTTCTCTCGGATGGCAGGGTTTGAAGCAGGGCCCTCTGAGGCTGTCCAGAAGAGTGCGCAGGGAGGCACCACCAGGCACACTGGGGAGGTCAGAATCTGCTCATGAGGAAAGTGAGGCTGCCTCTGCACCACGCATGTCTATACCCCTCGTCAGAGCAACCAAAGTGGCATGTGTTGGCCATAGCCAGCCCTCAGGCAGAGAGTCTGGTGTCACATCCGTGACCACACAAAGCCCTCTGCAGCCCCAGAGGCGTCTTCAATCTTCAGCACCCTTGGAGCAAACCTCTCAACCTAAGAACCTTCCTATAAAAAAAAAGTCATGAAGTCTTGACTCTCCTAGGGGTCATCCTGAGCTCTCAGATGTCCACAGCGCTCTTCCTCAGTCAGGAAGTTCAAAGGTCAGTTGATGCTGGCCAGCGCTCCCGTGTACCCAGTCTGGACTCACAGGTATGTGATTGGCTGGTCAGATTGGGTCTCAGCCACATTCCCTCCCCCAGCCCTGTGTGTGTATGTGTGTGTGTGTGTGTGTGTGTGTGTGTGTGTGTACATGCATGTATGCATACATGGCACTGGCTTAGCTATCCTCTCTGGGCACCTCTGCCTCCCACAGTGAGCAGCACACAGTCCTGGAAGGGTTGGCTCTTGAACCTCCCTGTGTCCTTGCCAGCCAAAGATAGGAACCAGGTAGCTTTGAAAGGTCAGCGCCTTTCCACAGGAATCAAAGGGCTCCCACTGATGCAATCTGACCTGACCAATGCGGAACTGTTAGCCTGTCGCTGCCCGTTGTCCTGTCTGGAGCACTGCTTCTAGCATGCTATCTGGACCCTCCCTGGCTCCCTGCTTCTACCCCAGGCCATACAGGTGTAAAATCACCTCCCAGAATGGCTCTTTCAACAGCCACAGCTGTTTTCTTTTCCAAGTGTGCAAATAAGGACCCGGGGATCACCCCTGTTCTGTGGGCACTGTCAGGCAGTCTAGGCCTGGGTGTTCCCACAGTGGAGCCCCACACCCCTTCCAGGTTTAAATCTTTCCTTACAGACACAGCTGAGGTTGCTGGGCCCTTTAGTCCTCAGCCCCACAGTCAGGTGAGGCTAATGACCCACACACTGGCCAGTGGGGAGATTTATGTACAAGATGTGTACAAGGCTTCCTATGGCTTAGGGTGACCTTCAGGCAGCAGCCAGTAGCCAACTACCTCTGACAGTTCCCTGAGCAAGACTTGATCAAACATACCTTCGTCAGCCTTCCAGGAGCCAGTGTGGGCAGCTGAGTGTGTGTCAGGGGGTGGCAGTGTGGACCCCGTGGCTTGAAAGGGTGATGACTGAGAACGGCACTGACCTCACACACGTGCGTGGGAACACGACAGGCAACCCTGGGCGTTGTTCTCAGGCGCTGTCCATCTGCTTGGCTTTTCTTATTGCTGGTTTATTTCAGACAGGTTCTCGTTATTAGCCCTGGCTGTCCTGGACCTCACCATGTAGACCTGGATGGCTCCCAACTCACCTGAAGTCCTGAGAGTAAAGGTATGTGCCCAGGCCAGGCTTGGCCACCTGACCAGTCTCTCATTGGCCTGGAACTCACAAGGCTGCAGGAAACTCTAAGAACCTGCCTGTCTCGGCCTTTTTATGCTGGGGTTACAAATGTGCACCCTACGTCCCACATTTTACATTGGTGTGGGGATCAAAGTCAGCTCCTGCTGCTTGCCCAGCGAGTACTTTAATGGCTGAGCTACGTCCCCAGCCCCCTAGGTGAGAGGTTTTGAGGGGAAGGTGCCAACAGACTGATAAGCTTGCAGAATGGCTGCAGTGGGCCTCAGTGGCCACTGAGAACAGGGCTCCATGGAGCTGCCGTAGGTGCCTGGGCCCAGGAAGGGCCGAGCCAGACAATGGCTGCTGAGACCACGCAGGGCTGAGGTGGCTGAGCTCTGACCAACTGCAGGCACGCATATGCTGACACACCAGTGCGGTCGCACAGACACACAGCAACTCCATGTGTGTTAACGCTGTGCACACGTGTGTGACACACCGACACCCCACAGCGCAGGCTGCTGGGGAGCTTTGGAGAAAAGGGGTTAAGACAAGCCCCTCCGATGCTTTCTGGGTCCAGCCGTGAAGAGAGGCCTTGAGAAGGCAGCCCGACTATGGCCCCATGGACTGGAGATCCTCACAGCTGGAGGAACAACACATCAGCAACTTTCCTCCTGGAGTACACAAATCCTGTCATTAAAATACGGCTTGTGTGGGGCTGAGGATACGGCTCAGTTGGTGGAGTATTTGTCTAGCACGCATGAGGTACTGGGTTCTACCCCCAAGACCACATAAACCAGGTATAACAGTGCACACCTTTGATCTTAGTACTTGGGAGACTCCAGTGGAGGCTGGAGAAACAGTAGTTCAAGGTCATCCTGGACTACTTGAAACCCTGTCTTAAAAAAAGAAAAAAACCAAAAACCCACAAGCTGGCAGCCTTTCGCTGAGGTGAGCCCTCCTCTTCCCACCTGCTGGATGTCCAGGGGGAGAGCTGAGATCCCCTCCCCTACAGCTGGCCTTTGCTGTGCTGTACCCTCTTCCCCTTTTGGAAAGCTTGACTTGGCTGACTCCTCTGCAGGTCTTATCCTGGCAGCCAGAGACAGAGCGGGGGCGCCCTCCCCAGGAGGACCTGGCACTGTGACACTGGAGGGCATTGTTAGCCAGGCTCTTGTGGAAGCATAGGGGACAGGGCTGTTCCCTCCTCGGGATCCTGAGAACTGCTGTTTGAGGACAAAGAACAAACGGGCATCTGACCGTCACCCTGTGGTCACCTCCACACACTGACCTGGGACAACCAGGCAGTGTCGCCCCTGGTGCTGAGCAGGGACTGGCCTTCCTGCCCGCAATCTGACCCTCTCCCTTCCTCATCCTGCCTGCTTCTTTGAGGAGGTGGCATTTCTCAGATCCGGGTGGCTTAGGGCTCTGTGGCTCCCTGGAAGGGCCTTGGGCCTGACCTGATTCCTGGTTCCGCATCCTTGGGTTCAGACACCCGCCTTCTATGCTCTGCGGAAGCTGGCTGATGCCCCACCCCCCATTACAGCCTGCAGGTGTCCCGGACTCCTAGGTACCTCCTTTCCTGGAATAGCCCGAAGGTTCGTAGAAGTGTGTTTTGTTCAGAGGTGCTCCCCTCTTGTTCTAAATGCCTCTTGGGCACTCCACGTTCGTTCTGACCTGGGACTCCTGGCATTCTGTTCTTTCTTCCCTTCCAGAGGGATCAAAAATGCTGCCCTGTGGAACCCCAAGGAGAGTCATGAACAGCATTTGTCCTTCACGCCTCACTTTCTCTTTTTGCTCAATAACACAGAGTATAAGAAGGGCTCCAGGTAGAGGTAAGGAAAAGGAGAAAGGGCCCCCCGATGCTCCCCAAATGGCTGTAAGCCAGGACTCCTTCCCCCAGGCTCCCAGCCATCCTTTGGCTCTTACTGCACTCCACCTGGAGGCAGTTTATTCCAGACTCCCTGAGTCCAGCATCCACATGGGCTTCCAGTGCCCCTGATCTCTCGAGTACTCAGGTGACATGACTGTGGCTATGGACAGCTTCCACAACTTAGGGATCAGGTCCTCTTAAAGCCAGATGCCGAGGTTACCAGAAGCCAAATCACCCCTGGGGATGTGTGTGTGCAGGGTACGTACAAATGAGGGCTCCCCACAAACCACTTCTGACCTGTTGGGTCAGAGTACTAATGCTGGACGAGGAAGCTGCAGTTTAGCAGGTTTCTATGATTTCATGCGGCCAATGTCAGGGCCACTGCTACGGGCATCCCTGAAGCTCTGGCCCCTGCAGGCTGGCCCCCTTATCATTCATAATGAACACTGGACTGCCTGTATTCAGCT